CTATTCGCTATGCTGAATCCGAAAATCACATTGGAGAGCGCAAAAACCACGAAAAAGGGCTCTGACGGGAGGGTAACCGCAGGTAGGCGGGGCCGTTCATACGGTGGCGTCACTCTCCCAGCTTTAGGAGCGACCCTTTCGTTTCCGCTAGTCGGTCCAACATCGTCACCGGCCAACTGCCAAACGCATGACATAAAATCGGAACCGAGAATATCGCTCCTGAAGCTGTGAAAGTGAAGCCACATGTGAACGACCCGCCCACCTGCGATTTTCCTCCCACGTTGGAGCCCTTTTTCGCGCTCTCCAATGTGGGTTTTGGATCCAGCATAGCGAATATGTCCGGATAAGCGCAAAATCCCAAAATCTACTTTTTGGGTAGACGCTGCCTTCTAAGAGTAATACTTTCACTGTTGCTGAATAACTTGGCTTCCGCTGTCTAGGATCACAGTGCACTGTTGCAGGAGACTCCATAAGGCTTGCGTACATTTCCCAAGATTCAAATGGTCGACATTTGAAGACTGTCGAGTTGTCACTAGCAGACAAAGAGCTCAAAACCATCTCTAAGCAGGTAGCTCATTTATTCACTTGGATGCATACCATATCACTCCGGAATTGTTGTTGTCAAGGATAATATCGAAACGGAGGCTCGAATGGTCATCCCAGTACCTCTACCTTGTGGTGGCGTGGTGGTAGTTGGACAAGAGACGATCCTCTATAATGGGTACGTGAATGAAGTGTTAGCCTGTCATAATCCAGTATGTTTAGGGAGGATAATGTGTATCTAACCATATCTCCAAATACTATGAATAAAGCGCTGTTCACTTGCTATGCATCTGTGGATACGAATGGACAACGGTAGTTAACAGTGTGCGATCGTATGCGTAAAAATTGATTTGAATATGTGATTTAGGTTTCTTTTGGCTGATGATCACGGTGTTTTGTACATGCTCGTCCTTGATGTCGACGTTAAGAGTCCTAATCCCAGTGTGAAAGATCTGAAGGTTTGACTAATATTATTTGGTCAACTGCTTCATTTGATTCTAATTTTGTTATGATTTGCACTTGTTTTCGGAACAAAGGAGATGTGCAAGAGCTTATTTTGTAGATAGAATCTCTCGGTGAAACCACTATTGCTGAAAGTCTGGTGTATCTGGATAACGGTGTGTTGTTTGTTGGTTCGCGATTTGGTGATTCTCAACTTGTTCGCCTAACTTCACAGCCGAATGCGGAGAATAACTCTTTTGTACAGGTTAGTTCCGAATTGAGTTTTGTTTTACTTTTTGTAAGTTTGGATTATTTTGCCTTTGATCTTGTAGATATTGCAAACATTCACGAACCTTGCTCCTATTCGAGATATCGCTGTCATGGAATGTGATGGTCAGAATCAAATTATCACTTGCTCTGGAGCGTTCAAGGTTTGCCGTTTCAAAAAATCTTGGCTTGCTATCAAGTGTTTCATATCTTAGGAGGGATCTCTGCGTATCATTCGTAATGGCATTGGTATAGACGAAGCTGCTTCTGTAGATATTCCTGGTGTCAAGGTTACTCGCTTTCGCCACATCGGCTTAAGTCTTCCAAATACATCTTACAGGGAATTTTTACTCTGAAAATCGGTTCGAAGCTAGACAATTATCTGATCATCTCTCTGAACTCTGAAACGCATATTCTAGCTATGAATGGGGAGGAGTTGGAAGATACCCAGTTGCTAGGTAAGTGTATCTGCTTATCTTGCTGGGTCAGTGCATATGATATCTGGCCTGCAGATAATTTTATTCCTTATCGGAAGCTGCTGAGCTCTCATAAAGTATAAGCTGGTGTTACATTTGACTGCATTTACAGACTTGGAAACTGACGAGCACACGTTATGGGCTGGGATGCTGGGAGAATCTCAGATCGTTTTGCAGGTAAGCATGTTTAGCCTTAACTGTAACTCTCCGCAACCATTTCATACAATCAAACTTCTCCTACCATTTTTGCTAACACATTGACGACGGTTTGACACACATTGTGTGTCGAGCAATGACTATCACATGGGACTGCTTGACACACCATGGTTTGTCAAGACTCGAATTTTGGGCTAGATGATTATCTTGGGAAAGACTCAATCCTGGGGTTTCCTTTTGCGCCAGTTCTAGAAACAAGCTCCGTCTTTTTTCGGCCTCTAGGAGCTACTGTAGGTATACTGTAAGTGGCAATTTGCGTGATCGGTCGTGAATGGCCTTGGTTAACGGGCAGACAAGTAAAAATTTGCATATCATCAATGTGCTAATAGGACTTTCCAGGTAACTTCTACATGTGTTCTGTTAGCGCGCGAGGGAACTAAAAAAGTTGTATGGAAGCCTTCACACAGTTCGTTGATAAATCTGGTCTCTGTAAATCAAGGAAGTGGCCAGGTAATATATCTCCATCTCATGTTGTTGCTCCTCGCAACTTATCTTTCAGGTGGTCGTGGCTTGCGGAACTCGTGTTTACTACCTTCAATGTGGTGATATGACGATCACAGAGGTGGCAAGCGTCACACTGCAGGATGAAGTTGCCTGCATAGATATTGGAACCATAGGTCAGTCTCGATTGGTAGTAGCTTGAACAGGCTCGGCCTAAAGGCAGCGGCTCGCATACCAATAACCGCTTTTCCAGACCTGAAAAACGCTATTTAGGCGGACGGCGTATGCCTGCTTTCTAGGGCGCGATTGGCTCGTGGGTGGAGATACCCGTACCCATCTCAGCCGTAATTGAAAGGCCGGGCCGCGAAAGTGGCTTCAGCAGCCACTTTC